AGAGTTCTCACTTTCAACTTTCATTCTTGATTTATTTTCAGCCTCTGGAATTGCTGCTATTACTAAATTCATTGGTAGAAATTCAGGAAATAAGATGGTAGTAGAAAGTAATAATGAAGCATCTTGTAGAAAAATTTCTACAGAGGTTTCTACTGATGATTACTATGAATACTAATTCTGTTCCTACTCATAGGGAGGATAGGTTGTATGATACATGTTTATTACTACAGGCCCATCAGCCTCTTTTAATTGGAAACATAACTGCTCCACTTCTTTATTTTGATGTTCTTTTTTCTGTTTTGTTTTTCATATATTCCAGGTCAACTACATCTAAACTCAAATCAGTTATGGAATTAATGAAAAATGCTGAAAACAGCAAATTTCTTAGAGAATTGAATAATATAAATTCTGAATTAATTGACCTGCGACCATGTTGTGAGGCAGTTCTGGAGAACCTCAAGAGCACAGATGTTATGAAGGTGGCTCTTGAATATTCACAGGGGTCTGAAAAGTGGAAAAAAGAGAGACAGCTCAGAATCACTGGTGAGTTTGGAGATTACATTATGTTTTGATATACCTATATTCTACATTGAGTCATTTTAGGTTCTAATTGCTACTCTATATACACTTTTAAAAAGAACACCTGGGAGAGCAAAGCTTCAAGTTTTTTTTTCCCAGAGGGATTTTCGAATAAGTTCACTGTACATGGCCTGAAATATGAGTCAGAGGCACTAAAATTATTCCAATCGAATAATAAAGAATATGAAATCTTTCAAACTAACTTATTCATCTCCCAACAGTTTCCATGGTTGGGATTTTCTCCAGATGCCATTATTTTTCAGGATGAAAAACCATGGAAATTAATTGAAATAAAATGTCCATACTCTGGTTTGTTATTAATTTAGAATTTCAGCATGATTCATCACACATTTTTCAGGAAAGTCAAATGGGTCAGAGGAATTCCTGCAATCATGTGATTTTCTTATGAATGATGGGTCTGGAGTAAAATTGAAAACAAAACATGCCTATTATGGACAGGTGCAGCTGGGAATGGCCCTACTTAATCTGACAGAGACACATTTGTTGGTATATTCCTCATTTTCTCACAGCTATGTGGAGGTGAAAATACAGTTTGATGAGATGTTCTCTTCAGATTTAATAAGGACAATATCAATAGTATCAATAAAACAAATGATTAATGAGTGATTTATGTATTGATTCTGTTTTTTCATTCCTATAAAACATCAAAATTTATCATCCCCTAAAATTGGTGTTTTCATATTCACTGTGGCAGCAACAATTATCATAATGTCATTGAGATAAGGTATCATATACCAGTCTATTTGATCCTTCAGAATAGCAAAATTTTTAATTTTTTCAATGGCTCGCTCTACATGCACTCTTGCTCTTGCAATCTCTGCAGTTAATTTTGCATCTTCTTTTGTGAGTTGTTTCTTCTTTCTTAGAAATGGCGGTCTTATCAATTTCAGAAAATTTTCTTCACATTCCTTCTCAATCAAAACGCCCTTATCCACCATTATTCCATCATTGGGTTGAAACTTTTGAATGAGATTTTCCTTATTGAAAATTGCTTTATCAGTAGCTCTACCTCCATATGCTCTACTGACAAATAAAATCAATCCAGATGGAGTAATCCCAATAAGAAATTTAGCAGTGTGTGTTCTTTTATAGTGAGAATATGATAAAATCCTGCATTTCAAACATTTCAATTTTTGAACTTCCACTTCTGTACAATCCAGAACCACTCTTGTATTTTTGAATCAATGGAAACATTTTGGCAGATTCTCTACAATTTGCTCTTTAGTTGGCCAATCAATAACCGATTTAATGCTCAATCAACATTCTTGTGCAAGTAGACTTGCTGATACCAAACAGAAGTGATAGACAAGAAAATGAAAGATTTGTCTTTAATTTGCATAACACAAGTATTATGCTGAATTCAATATTAGTTGGATTGATATTATTGTAGGATGCTGTATTCTCCATACACATTTTATAGGCTCTCAAGATTGTATAATCCACACCTAAAAAAAATATTTATAATTTAGATTGAAAGTTACAGTTTACGTATAATGTTGTTAAATAAATAAAGTATACATAATTGATTTACTATACCTGTGAATGTTTTCAATTTTTCGTTTGTATTCAATATTTGAGGCAGTTGAAAAATAACTTGAGATATCTCTGTTGACTTTGGTAAATCAATGAGGGTATCATGTCTCATAGATTGATTTTCAGTTTTCTCTACTTCTATGTTCATTTCAATATTCACATCATTCCCAAGCTGACTTTCAATTATTGTCTCCAATTCCATTTCATCAGTAATTTCAGATTGGTCTTCTCACTGGTCAATTGGTTTTGTTAGAGTACTTACATCTTGACCTATTTGATTTTTTGTATTCATCTGTTGAATTTCCATCAATCTAGAAAATTCAAAGCACAAACATCATCCAATTTGAGAACCTATGCATCATCACTCACATTCTTCGCTCACACTTTGTATTTTCATGTGATGACTTTGGAAGGTTCACGGAAGGTATGGCTATCTCTTTGATCCGCCGTCGTGGTTTACCAGTTGATGAGCCTTAAATGAAATTTGCAAGCATAGATGTGATTTAAAGAAGTTCAATTCCTTGAACTTTACCTTCAGTTAAAGATTTATTGAAGGATGTAAAATCTCCAGGTAAGAAGTGCTCACTACAAACGTACATATTATTGGTTATTGGTTTACCAATCTTCAACAAATTCCTCCATCTTTTACACAATTTGCGGTTCCAAAGTGGAAATTTGTGTGAAGAAACACTGTCTGTACAATATGAAGAGCACTGCGGAACTGAACAACACTTTCTCGATTTCGTATTTTTGGTTTTATGTATTTGCTGTATGTTGAAAGGTTGAAAATATCTACCTATCCCATATACCTATACAAAATAATCACGAAAATCATTGAACAATAGTGACAAGTGGTGACAATGCTGAAATGTATTGTTGTTCACCCTTAGATCAACGCTTAGATCCTACAGATGATCTAAGTGTTCACCTCTATTTTATTTCCAAAATCAAACACCAGAGGCCACCCACTTCGTGATTTTCGCGAATTATCATTTTGGTTTCAAGGATTGTATTGAGAAGTTGATGAGGGTAGCACAACCTCATATTAAAAAGTCGGATATAATAGAAGTTTGTTTGAACATTGATGGTTTACCTTTATCGAAGAGTTCAGGTAGCCAGTTGTACCCGATTCTTTGTAATTTGTTTTTGCAAAAATCTCCTGTGTTTGTAGTGGGTTTATATCATGGCAATGAAAAACCTAAACAGGCTAATAAATTTTTACAGTCTTTTGTCAATGAAGCAGTAGTAGTTGTGGACGAGGGATTTATATTTGATGGGAAAAACTATCATCTCAAAATTAAAGCTTTTATTTGTGATGTACCAGCAAAATGTTTTATCAAATATGTCAAAAGTCACACTGGCTATCATTCTTGCAGTAAATGTTCAACAATGGGTACATATATAAATAGAAAAGTGTGCTTTCCTGATATAAATAATTTAGTACTTCGCAATGACTTGGATTTTAGATCAAAATCACATGAAGAACATCACACTGGAACATCTATTCTGGAAAAGATACCTGACATTGACATGATCAGCGATTTTCCTTCAGATTACATGCATTTAATTTGCTTGGGTGTTGTTAAAAAAATGATTGTGTCTTTGTGGATTGACGGAAAACCTAAAACAAAATTGTCATCCCATCAAATTTCTATCATATCTAACTTCTTGTTGAAACATAGTTCACAGATTCCAGCTGAATTCAGTCGAAAAAGTAGATCATCAATTGAAGTGAAGAGATGGAAAGCAACAGAGTTTAGAATGTTCTTACTATATTTAGGTCCTGTTGTGTTGAAATCGGTGTTGAGCACAGAAACATATATTCACTTTCTTACATTACATGTTGCAATTACAATACTATCCAGCAAAAAATTTGTTCATTTCATTGATTATGCAGATTCCTTATTGAAGTATTTTGTTGAGTCATTTGAAAACCTATATGGAAACGAATATATCTCACACAATGTTCACAATTCACTACATTTATGTGATGATGTTAAACGATTTGGTCCACTAGATATGTTTAGTGCTTTTCCTTTCCAAAATCATATGCAAGTATTGAAAAAATTTGTTAGAAAAGGATACAAACCAATTCAACAGATAGTGGGAAGAATTCATGAACATAATTATTTTATGTCTAGTGATGTGAATAATGTACCGCTACCAGAACCATGTATAGAACATTCTTGTGACCCTCTTCTACTGGACATAAATTCTTTGAATCAATATAAAAAGGTCAAATTCCCAAATTTTGTTTTGAGTGTGAGTCAGGCAGATCATTGTTGTTGTCTGAATGATAATAGTTTGATAATTATCAGAAATTTTCTTATTGATGGCAATAATACTATGAACATAATAGGACAAGCATATTTTAAGATGGAAAATTTGTATACATCACCCTGTAACTCATCAGAATTAGGAATTTTTATTTGTAGTGATCTAGGCACATTACAGGCATGGCCGCTTAGTGCAGTCAGTAATAAATGTATGAAACTTGCAGTAAATGATGATGAATGTGTGGTTTTTCCACTTCTGCATTCAGAATAGTAATAGATGATGGAATTAGGAACCTAATATTTATGTAAATAGTATAATTGTTTGAAATTGAATCACTTCATCACTCATTTGCCAAGTATTTTATTTCTTCAAGTAAGAATATGAGATTTTTTTTATTAGATATTGCTAAAGATTGAATAAGATTTGTTTGTAAAATTAAAAATCAGCTAAAAAATGTACATTCCTTCTAAGAAAAATGTATTCAGTGCCAACCCTGAATTTGTACCCTATGTTCTACTTATATTATTTCATATTCCAAATATTGTCCTTGATTATTCAATCACTTATATTTTTCTTGGAGCTTCTGAATCATGGCTGATACATGGACTGTAGTTAAATTTAAAGAAGAAAATTCTGTAGAGGCTATACCAACAACTTGGCTGATGGGCAATGATCATTGCTATTGGCCACCTTACACACATGAAAAAATACAGCAAGCAATCAAAAAACACGACCAACCAAACACTTGTTGGCCTCTGCATAAAATTGAAATTTTCAAGAGCGGAACTTATGGTGAGTATTGATATCTTCTGCAGTTGTAATGTGTAGGTACTGAAAACATTTTTTCCTTGAGAAAATATTTTATGAAGATGATAATTTCCTTGAAAGACTGACAATTACTGATAATATAAGATACATTCCTTGATATTGAATGGTTTTCATATGATTTGATTTTATGCTAGTTTCCTATAGCAGATGGAGGTTTATGAATGTTCATTAAGATGCAAATTTTGATCAGTAATTGAAATAATTAGTTTTCTATTATTGAATAGGAAATGAATACATTCTGATGTTGACATTGGCATTTTCACTTTTCCAGACAACTACCTTCAAGCTCGGACCAAAGCCAAAAAGGCAGAAAATGAGAGTGATTTGAACTCTGATCTTGATATGAGTAAACGTAGAGTGAGGCGGAGAAAAGTAATATCCTCAGATGACAGTTCAAAATCATCTGCTGAGGAGCTGGACACAGTAAAATGGCATAAAAAATGCTCCCAGAAGAAATTAACTGCCCCACCTAAAATACCTACCATATCAAGTACAAGTTATTCAGTCCAATCAAGAAGTCAGCTTGATGATCCAGTTCCTGTAATTCCTGCAATACTTGATTCTGTTAGCAGTAAATCTATTAATGGTTGGTATTCTTTCATGACTCAATGATAATAATTGTATTCAAAAGTATGTTCAGTTTCGACATTTCATTCTTGTTATATGTTTCAGATGAATTATTCTGTTGTTGCTGTCGGGTGCACAGAAGTGGTGAGTTGATTATACAGTGAGGATGTAAAAAGTCCTCCTCACTCTTTGACTTTGGAACAGAACAAGCTATCGAGGTCGGGTAGAATTCAGGTGCTACTTACTGGCATAAAAATGTTTGTGGTCTTGTGGCCTAGTGTCAAGAGCAGAGCACCATCAACTCTTTTTTAAATGTAAAGAGGTGTGATGTGACACCTGGTTTTGAAGGCCTTTCGATTCTCTATCCGCTTTGTTTGTATAATTCAGCTAAGCCGGTTTCAAATTGACAAGCGTTTAAAATTTGCTTCAAATATTTTACAAATAAATTAAAAACCTAAATAACTTTTAATTGCAACAGAATTTTAGGTAGGTATTCACTATTATAACAAGTTGACATTGATATTTAAAATTTATTTGTAAAATATTTGAAACAAATTTCTGACTCATTTTGTTATGTCATTATGTAAAAACTAAGCGGTGTTGGATAGAGAAGGCTTTCAAAACCAGCTGCCACGTGACCACTCTTTTCATTGAACCTGTACCTGAACCTGTACCTGAACTCGACCTCAATATCTTGTTCTGTTCCAAAGTTAAGGAAGGGGAGGACTTTTTATGTCCTCACTGTATATTATAATGTAATGATATTATTTTGTAATTCATGCTTGTTTGATTTTTTCAGGGGATAGTTTGAGAAACATTGTAAAGCAACAAGTACTCATGAGAAATATATTGGCTCAAATTCTCGAAGATATCCAAAATTTAAGAATATTACAACCAACATATATCAGGAAAGAAACCCATCCGTCAATATTTGCAACGTTCAGTTTCTTCTCTATCAGTTCAGATGAACACCTAATCCTTGTGGAGGAGTATTTAGAAAATGAAATAAACTTTAGAGCAACTGTGAGTATAGATAGAAACAACCTTTTTTAAAATTGATTGTCTGGTTTTCAGGTTGATGAATTTTCTAAGTTAGGTGGAACTAATAATCTATATGATTTTATTAAAAGGTGTCTCAATGTAGCAATATCGAATTCCTTCGCCTCACAATTCAGTTGGCACGGAGCTAAAAAGAAAAGAATATTTGGAAATCTGAAATTGGCAAAAATACTCTTAGGTAAGAATTGGTCTCAAAATGTTTCTTTCTTTTCTATGAATTTGTACCTCAGTGATAATTATAACATTATCGGATCTCTATCGCATATCATCAGCTCTTTGACTCATTTATTTTGACTATGGTGACAAGAGCAAAATTAGTTTCAATGTAATTAATATAATTCAGTGAAAATTTCATATGAGAGACACTACAACTTTTTCAGTTGTATTTCAGATAAGCTTCAAGTTAATTTCAGAAATCATCAATTGTATTTTGGAATAGTCAGTTTGATATCAGAAACGGTCAAATGTATTTCAGGTTGATTAATTCAATTTCAGAAAGCATCAAATGTATTTCAGATTAGTCAATTGAATTTCAGAACATATCAGATGAATTTCAGAAATTACGCTTTCTGAAATACAACTGGAAAGTGTGTAGTTGAGATGCCTTAAAATAGTGTCCTTGAACCATATTTAGTTTTCTTTATTCATCAGGGGTGGACTAAGTTTCATCATTAATGCTGGAATTTTCGATACTTTGTATGATACAGGCCTGAAAACAATAAATTTGCGTAGCTTGAACCTTGAACTGAAAAAACTGCAATCTTGTTTATTGTCCATAGAGCTGTTTTGGAGGAATTTAATAATTAACACATTCATGTTCTATTTTTATCAAAAACGTCCATCCTGATAAACTAAGAAAGCTAAATATGGTACAAGGACAATATTTTAAGGAGTCTCCACATCAAATTTTCATTCGATCATATTAATCACTTCGAAAGTGATCTAAGAAAAAACAAATTTCCATTGGCGTTATTTAAGGGCTCATACCTCTGTCAGGAGAACTTGTCGTCTTATTTTTTCAGGTTCTATCTTAATCCGAGAGATTTTCTATAAAATTCCGGAACCTGTATATGGCCATTTTTTCCAGCTCTCAATAATTTATTTGCAATTCATGGATATCATTCTTACCTGAAAATGTGTGTCATATTTTTATGAAAATGACTTGTTTTAGGTGCATCTGAACAATCCAAACTATCAGAAAACCAAAAAGCAACCGAAGAAGCAGTTAAAAAATGGTTAAGGAGAGCCAAAGATCGAAGTGAGAATGTAAAAGTGGGAATCGACAATAATAAAAATTAGTGTGACTTGTGGTTTTAGTTGTTAATGTTTCACCTAAGTTAAAGAATATCTTTTGTTTTCGTTTTCAAAAATCATTGGTTTATTATGAAGAATTCTTTTATTTTATTAATAAACTACTACTCTTCAAAAATTCAATTAAATGTTTCCAAAATAAAATTTTGACACCAATATTTGTTTATTATTTTGTATTTAAAATCTGCCAGTTGAATATTGCGAAAAACCATTTTTTAATATTTTTTCAAGAGAAATGAAAATATATCTATTGAAACATTCTATATTGCTCTTCCAATTTATGTACATTGGATGTCCAGTTCATGTTCATTTCAGATCCAATTCACGTCCATTACAGATCCATTCAATGTCCACACATATTCAATATATGTCCATCATAGGTCCATTTAATGTCCTTTTTGATCCAATATATGTCCATTACTTGGATCAAAGTGGACATCCATTGGATGTCCAATTCTGTGACAAATGGATATCCATTGGATGTCCAATGGATGTACCTCTGGACATAGTCGGACGTCCAATGGATATTCGTAATGTCTATCGGACATCCAATGTATGTACGTGTGTTATCTGGGCTAGTTAGTGATCATGCATCCCTCGAATGGTTTTTTGAAATAAAAAATTCCACAGGCAGACTTGCTCGCTAGAGTGTTCGGCTCAGCCAGTTTGATTTTGACGTTGCTTATATCAAAGAAGCATTGAATGTGATTCCTGACATTTTATCTCGTAGTGCAGTTGATTCACCATTGGAAGACTCTGAGAATTGGAGTGTTTAGGAAGAAATTTGTGTGATGAATGACAATTACATTTCCTTGGATATCGATTTAACTAAATTAGATTCATTTTATGAGAATTTTCGCACAAAAATTCTACATAAACCTGATGAGTTTCCACAATGGTCTGTGAAAGTAGGTTATGTGTACAAGTTAATTCCGTCAATAGTGGATATGGACTCTAACGTTTCTGAGTGGAAGTTGTTGGTTCCAAAGAAAGAAAACACATAATATCGTCATGTCATGATCCTTGTACTGCTTCACATGCAGGTTATCACAGAACATATACTAGAGCAGCTTTTATCTACTATTGGCCAAAGATGAGGAGAGACATAACTCAATTACGTGAAATCATGCAAGATGTGCGCTTCACAAAAAGCACCTTATCACTCAAAATTTGGACAGAGCGTACTGTACGTTTTCCATTGCAAGTGATAGCTGTAGATTTAATGGGACTTCTTTCCAAAAGCTCAAGTGGTTTTCAATACATTTTGGTAGTATCTGACTGGTTTACTAAATAACCTTCGATTTGTTCGTTAAGAAATTCTACTTCTAGCAATATGATGAAATTTTCAGAAAATTATGTTTTCCTAGTTCATGGAGTGTCTCAGCTGATAGTATGCGATAATGGCAGACAACTCATTAGTGAATCCATAAAAAACTTGTTCAATACTACGAGTCTTCGATATAATCCAAATGACCATCCTCAGGCTAACTATGTAGAACGAGCAAACCGTACCATCTGTACAGCAGTCCGGAGTTATGTGAATGGAAATCACAAGTCATGGGATAAAGAGTTGCCTAGAATAGCATATTTGAATATCGGACGTGAGGTTCCCTGTTCCGGATAATATTATGGAAAAGGAGATGTACAATTAGATACGACCAGTAGAGAACGATGGGCTCAGAACTTGGGTACATTATCTGAAATTTTCGAGAATGTACAAAATAAATTGGATTTGTCATATAAAAGGAATGCTAAATATTATAATTTACGGAGGAGGGACATAAAATGTTCCGTATGAGAAAAGTTTTGGGAGAGAAACCGGGTCCTCTCAAATTCGGCTTACAGTTTTGCTCAAAATATACCTCCATGCTACACTCTTTGCACGGTGGCAAAGAAAAAATCAAAACTAGCATATGTTTTGAAGTACCAGGATGGCTCAGGTGCCAGAACTTGGCATGTTCAGGATTCGAAACCATATCATGGATCACTTACTGATGTCTCCACAATCCATAGTGATAAGGAATCTGCATGTGACGAGTAGTAGGAATCATGATCATGAAGAGGTTACTGAACACATCACGCAAGTGATTTGTATATACCATCGTAGATACAAGTTAAGGTAGATTGTAGGTTGAATTAAGATTAGTCTCAATTCATAGATGATGGGCATTAGTGAATAGGTAAATTGAGCTTAATTCGATATCAAGAATTTTTTTGTTTGTACATATAGATTCCGAGTATGAAAAATAGTCATGTTTCAATGCATAATTTCTATATCCGAGGAAGGGGGTGAATGTAATATAAAAATTTGCCTTCTCATGTTCCATACTGTGAATTCTGCAAATAGGTAATGGGGAAGCTTTGTGAAGATGCACTGCGTAACTCGATGATTCCTATCCTAGGTTTTGAGGTACTTTATATAATTCCATCTTGATAAATGTTATCATTTTCCATGTCCATGACCGGAGGACTGTTAGGTTATTTCCTTCCACTTCTTATCCAATTTTACACATTTGTCAGATGCCCATGAATATTGTTGTTTTCATCTTAGTCTCTTGCCAGTAGAAGACTGTTTGTTGAGTTTAGTGGCAGTGGCCTGTAATGGTACAGGTATATTTACAATTGTGTATCGACTGGTGTGGATCGACTAATGTATCGACTAAAGTATGGACTATCGATGTCATGATCGATATTCAATATTTCTTTCGAGTTACATCCTTGAATCATATTATTTGAGTGGCTAGCTTGACGCTGCGCAGAGACGAAATTCGGTTTGCAATACTTTCTTGAGATGGATCGCAAGTGCTCTGATTGACGAAAACTTGTTTGAGCAATTTCCGTCTCATCATTCTTCTTGGTGATTCCTTCGTTGCGAAGAGGTTTCATGTGTTGAAGCCAAAATGAGGCCCTTTTTGATCTTGGCTCTCGTGCGATCAGGTCAGGTGGTGGACACCTATTTTTGTGTGAGGCCTTTCCGATAGGGAGGTAAGAAATATAAAATCTTTTTTGTGTGAATGATATTTGATAGGGTATGTACATTTCAGATATCACGGCCTTATACAGGGGAGCAAGGGGTTCAGAAGTGGATGATATGAACTCCATTTTCTTTTGACCACATGGCATGTTTCTAGACTTGAATTGTATTACTTAACACTGTTAACTGGATGGATCACTAAAAATCAATCTTTCATCAGCTATGGGCATCCAGTTTTCCTAGCACATCTAACTCCTAACGCCAAATGAGAGAGGAGTGTCTTCGTTTCATCCAGGTAGTGAGATCTAGTGGACCACAGTTGGAGTCTTATGGTACAAAACATTTTTTTTACTGTCTGAGGACATTTAACATATCATATTTTTTCACTGTCTGAGGACAAAAAATACATATTCTTTCACTGTCTGAGGACATTTAACATACATATTTTTTTCTGTCAGGACATTTGAATAGTAATTTCTCACTGTCTAATATAAAGAGATATTTGAGTATTTGTTAACTAAACATTTCAGTCTTATATCGGATTTTACATTTGATAGAATTATTGGTTCTGTTAGAAACTCTGTGAACCCAAAGTATAGGCCTATATGAAGAGAAATCTTCCCTTGTCCTGAGTTATAATCATAGAATATTATTTATGACCATTCTTGATACCTATTGTTGCATTTTAAGGTGGATAAATCTGTTAACAGTTACATAGACTCAGACAGTAGACAATTGAATCAGAAGTTTGAATCACTTTCAGATGATTTGAAAAGTAACAATGTATCTAATGTTAGTCCAGGAAAGGTGGGTAAACAAATTTCGATGAATAATGATGATGCAGTTGTTGTCAGCTGTGTGAATTCGAGTAATAATTCACAATTTTTGACTGCTTGGAAAGAACTTGGAGGTAGTACTTTGCAGAACTCAGAGGAAAGCGTTTAGAGAATTCAGATCTGGAGTGTCCGAAAAGGGCTTGAGGGCTCATTTTTTGTTGAAGCAAGTTCGAGAAGCACGGTATTTAGATTCTTCACCAAGTGACGAAGAAATGATAGATATTTTTTCTGAACATTTTGAACCAGATATTTGCAGAGGAAATGAGTTCGGGAATGCGTTATATTGAGGAGGTCGAAAGATATTTGAAAAGGATTGATGAAACTCACGAGGGGGGTTTAAATGTGCTAAATAGGAATTTTGTTTTGTTTATAGAACATCGAATGTTCGCGAGCCATATAATAGAAACAGAGTAGATAATGAACGTCGTTTGGATAATAGAGAAGGGGAAAAATGAAAATGTTGATAAAAGAATAGTTGGCTGGTAATTTTGCTCCAGTTGTATCAGTTCGCTGCTGGACAGTGTTTGTCTACTCTCGATTCAACAAGTGATTCCCACGAGACCTACGAGACGAGACTTCCATAAAGTCTCGTCTCGTCTCGCCGATGAAATATGGAGTTTTGTCTCGAGTCTCGTCTCGCAGCCCCGAGTCTCGTCTTGTCTCGCGTCTCGTACAAGAGTCTCGCAAAAGTTTTCCCAAGTTCGTCATGCATCTGAACAAGAAAAAAAACATAGCATTAAATATTCGGAAGTTATAAAAATAAAATAAAAAGTAACACGTATATTCTACAAAAATAAACAAAACAAAAACTTAAATCCAACATCATTTTACTCATTCAAGAAATAGGTATCTATAATAAAAAAAACCTTCATTGTCAGATCAGCCTTCACGATCGCAAATGTTTTTGTTTCTCACTCAGTCTTTAAGACATAACAAACATCGTGCGGATTCATTATTGAGGCGATTCCGATGTTTCCTTATGGTTAACGCAGCACGTGAGAATAATCTTTCCGCCGGGACTGAAGTAGCCGCTATGCTCAAGATATCTCGTGCCATCAAACTCAGAACGGGAAATTCAGAAGCATGCATTTCCCACCATTGCAAAATATCTGTGTTTTTATTACACCGAGGCACAGAATAATATTTTTGAAGCTCCTGCATCCATACTCCTTCGACAGGTATAGGATTTACTCCGTACAATGCATCAAAATCGATTAAAGATTTCGACTTTTCCGCTTCAAAATCTTCTCGTCCTAGTCCCTCCACTGGCGTTTCTTTCGAACGTTGTCCCTCTGATGCCTCTGATTGATGTAAATATACTTCATATATCTTGAAATTTCTGAATAGAATTTTCTTTCAATTCTTGGCCCCATCTCGTCATATCAAACGTCTCTAACTTATGTCGTGGATCAAGAATCAAAACTGCAGCATAAATCCAATTAATTTTACGATAATGTTTTGATATTTCGTCTCTCGCAGCCTGAAAACCAATAATGAGTTGATCTTCGACAGAGGTTCGATCCGCATTTCTATCCCATTCAAATATTTTGCTCTCAAGATTATTCAGTTAGATATTGATACATACAACCACCATAGGTACGTCTATCCTCCGAGTTTTTTGGAAAGTATTTCAGAGTTGATGAGTAGTTTATGCACTTCTTCCAGAAGTTTTCATTCTTCATCACCAAGTGCATTTGGCTTTGAATCAGCAACATTTTGACATGATACACCAAGTCCATTTCTTTGATTAAGAGCTACTTCCAACATATCATCACAGTAATTCCAGCGTGTAGGCACATCCAACACAGGTGTCAGTTGCCGTGAATTACCAGTTGCCTCGCAAGCACTTCGGAACTTGATTAAAAGTTGCTCTGACCGTTTAATTTTCGAAAAAAGAGAACGTTTTTTACATATTGCATTAGAATTATCTTGATTTTCCTCAACTTCCGCATCCTCATCGACACTATCATCACTCAATAATTCATTTGCTAAATTTGCTTCAGAATTTAGTTTTAGCAACTTAAACAAATCTTGCACAGCCAGATTAATTACATGTCCAAAACATCGAAGATGGGAGTGCTCCACATTTAAATCGAGAATCAGTTCCTGAAGTTCTTTTATAGAAGTTGTATTTGCCGAGGCATTATCCAATGTTATTCCTTGAAGTTTGTGTCCTAAGCCTTTATCTCCAAGGCATTTGAAAAAAGTAAGAGCTATGTCTTTTCCTGTATGTTTTCCATGGGCAGGAATAAAGTCTAGAGTGATAGATTGCAATTCCCAATCGTCATCTATAAAATGTGTTGTTATTCCATAATAAGATCTGCCGCTGATAAAAGTCCAGCGATCTATAGTAAATGATAATTTCGAAGAATTTCCTGCCAACATGTCGGTTATTTTTTTTGTAGGCAGTCGAATCGTAACATTGCCAATCTTCTTAATTTAGTTTTTTTGGAAAATCCTTTCCAGATATTTCTTTAAAAAATTTTTGAGTGCCTTCGTCATTGAAAAAGTTAAAAGGTAAATATTTGTTTGCCATCCAATCAACAATTGCCGTGTCCAAATCGTCCTTGGGTTTACCTGAAGTAGTCTGAAAAGTGAAAATGATGGAAGGAATGCGACAAGACGTCATAAACTGCGAATTAAATAAATATTTTCTATACGAGCGAGCAGAAGTGCACGCATGTCAGTATGGAAAGTTTTACTTTCTTGCACTAGTGCGGAAAAGTTGCTGCCGTCGCCTGCGGAAAAGTACCACTTTCCGCACTTGTTAAGGAGATAGGTAACTATTGTGTACAGCGGTGGCCCGTTTATTATGGGATGACAACTATCAGAGGGTGAAGGGAGATGGCAAATGAAGTTGAGTATATCTAAAAGTTGCTTGGATTCACATAAACTTTTGAAATATCATATTTTGAATTTTCATATGTATTGGGTTTTTGTTAACTTGGATGAGTGTCAACTTATTTTAAATGGAATACGTTATAGCCTATATACCTATAGTATATACGAAGGAAATCTATTTCATTTTAGTGGTCTATGCTTCACATTTTCATAATAAGTAAATTTTTTTTATTCAATATTTTTGAATAGACCATATACAAAGTCATCCTTATTTTGAATGCTAAATAAAATGAAATTGAGAAAATAGGGAGTTTAAATTTGAAAACAATCACTTTGCACGATTTTTTCATTCAGAATTCAATGCAAGTTTTCGTTCACCCTGTATTCATTTATCATAGAAACTAACTCGAATATAATGATATTTATATCTATAAATACCCGAGGAATTCGAAAATGCTTCAATATACAGGGAATTCCATTTAAAATAAGGAAGTTGATACTTGTCCACGAAAATACAAACATCCTGTATATAAAAAATATATTTGAAAGTTTATAATAAGGATATAAAAAAATTCGCGAAAGTTTCAAAACCGCACATTGAAGATTCCAAAAAAAGAGGTCTAGTTTTATGCAGATATCTAAAAAACTAATGAAGTTATATACATTTAAAAAAAAAGATTCTTGAAGACCATAAAACTTCCGATATATTCAAAAATGTAACAAAATGTTTGAAGAAAAGCCAAAGAATCAATTGCGTTGGAATAATCAATTTATATTATGAAATTTCCTAATATATAGGTATAATATATATATTACCTTCAATTGGGACTCTAAAGCAAACATTTCGGGAATAGAAAGGCTGGGAGTACTTGCTCCCGCCTGTTGTTTTTTGGATATTTGTTCTGCTTTTTCTTCTGGAAATAATTCGAAATATTTTTTCAAATGTTCACTGCGTAGGTGCTTTTTCAGTCCGGTAGTATTGCCCCGTGCCATTTTAATCTCCTTCGAATTTACACAACTTTTGCGCCTAGCTATCTTATCTCGATTTGTCCCTTTCAATTCAATGTTGAAATGAGGATCAAATTTGCTCTTGTAAGCACTGTTTCGTGTTTGTACACGAGCAGAAGAAGACGCACAGATACTGCTATTAATGCTATTCAGTGACAACGACGATTCACGTTCAGTTACATCATTGCCTGGTATGTAATCGTCATCACTTCCACTAGAAATATCACCGGAGTTTGATTCATTTTCTGAATCTGACAGATTAATTCTTTTCCTCTTGGGTCTGCTCCTTATAATAATATTCGAATTTTTCAGACACAGTTAACCGCACGCTCAGAAATTCAAATATCAACTAGTAGGTATCCACTAAATCAAAACTACCCAACTACCCTTTTCGGAATGGAGTGCAAAACATAAGAGGCGATAGGCGATGCAACCGTGGCGTCGGCGGCCCGTCAAAACAAAGTTATTATTTTTATCTTAGACTATTTAGCACAGAATGACTTATTTATAGATTCTCAGGTATGTCCAATAAATAGATATAAGAAACATAAAAAATACATCATAAATAACGAGGTGATTTTCATGTCAGGCGGGTCTCTTTGATAAACAACACGTGCTTATTCCTCTCATGCTGTGTAGGGGAGCTAGGGGAAGATTACTTCAAACCTTATGACATTTATTATATTCTGATCTATATCTTATAATGAATCTCACACACACACAGTGTACCAGCGAGCTTAGCAGAGTCGACACCTAAAGGATTAGTCCCTGACCCAAACTATTCCCAGGTAGAAACAGCAGAGTGAACTAGTGCCAAAACTACGAACAGCGATAAAAGCGAAAGTGACAGTGAAGTGCAGTGAATGTGACGAGTGAATGATAAGTGAAGGGGGTAAGTCGATTTGATAATTGTCCAATTGTTTAAATTCTCTATACCTCATCACTCATTAACTCGCTATTCATAATGCCTACTGAAAACATAAAAACCTAATCCCTCCGCGGATGGCAACACGTTCCACCTCCTCTACCCCACATCCCCAAACTCCCCCTCCACCTAACCTAAGCAACGACGACTCGTTAGAGTCTAATATTTCCTATTCAGACGCAACAATGCTGCAAAAAATCACAAAAACTCTGGATTTTTCCTCCGCGCTCAAAGCAAACAATAACACCAGCACCCCCAACCCCCCTCCCACTTCCTCCTCCAACAACACCAACACACAACAAACCTTCAACCTAAGATCCCTCCCAATCAAATACAGATCCCAGAAAGAACTTTACAACCTCATAAATACTCATGAAATCCTAAGAAATCAAATCCTATTTTTAAAAGCCAACCTCAATCAAACGGCACTGCTTAAAACAACCTCAAACGTAACGCAATCACAACTTGAAACAAAACTCAAAAACGCAACCGGAGAGAACTCAATCCGCGTAATCCTCATAAATCCCAGAAACCTTCTAAATAAGAAACCGCAAACCACAAGGAATCCCACGTTCTCTATGGTGATCAAGGGTGTCCCCAAAGACATCACCATGGGCGATCTGGAAGAATCCTTCAAAGAAATTAATTTCCCAACAATTAAATTTTGGAGAATCACCTCTCGGGCAACCAACCAACCCACAACCCTAATCAGAGTCATCACTGACTCTGAATCCTGTTATTCCCGAGCCCTAAACTTAGGTATTTCATTCTTCGGAATGAAATTCCAGGTTGAACCATCCAATCCCAACCCTATCCCTCCTATCCCAAAATATTGCAGCAGATGCGCGGAAAACGGACATTCCCTAGAGGAATGTAAAAACCGTATTTCATGTCCTCATTGCGGCGATGAACATAAACCCCAACAATGCCCAAAAATCCAAAATCCTAAATGCAAAAATTGCAACGGAGATCACCCCGCCTTCTCCCCCAAATGCCCCAAAAGGGCCGAACCCCCCCAAACCCCATCGGAAGTTGCCCCGGTAGTCCTAACCCCCCTCCCAATCCTCCCAGAGCTTACCGAAGCCACAAAATCAATAATTATGCTAAACACAATTGTATTAATCAATACCTTGCCGGAAAGACGCCAACTGATTCTCACGAGTCTGAACAAAAATATGCAGGTCCTATTTGGACACACCTGCATATGTACTCCCACCTCACCTCCAAGACCTAGATATCCAAGCCATCGACCTTCACATCCCAAATCATAACATAACCATTATAGCATATTACAACCATTCGACCCAAACCCTATCCCGTTTCCTCATCACATACCAATCCTCACTCCAAAGAGGGATACTCCTTGGCGATTCCGACGCCAGGCATCCGCAGTTCGGAGACCACGCGGGAAATCGAAATGGAGTACTCCTCACGAACCACTTACTCGAACTTCCCATCCATAGAATCCCAAACCGAAACTACACCTTTTTTTCATACGGTGGCCATCCATCATCGATCATATCATATGCACCGGAAGATGCATAGAGATGCTCGAGGGTGAGTGTCACATCGGGGAATCCATCTCCTCAGACCACTTTCCTCTCCTTTGTCACTCTCAGCTAATGAACCCAATCCCAAAACCATCAGATACCATAACTTTCCTCAATTTCAAAAAAGCTGACTGGAACCAATTCAGAACCCTCATTTCACAAAACCTTCTACTTAACCCCATACTCGAATCCCCAGTCCAAATAGATAACGCAATAAATACACTTGAATCCACAATTACAGACGCCATCGACGCCACAGTTCCCCTCACCACCATAAAAACCGATTATCATACACTCCCTCCTAATATCCTAAACCTCATAAAACAGAAACGTAGATTATACCGACAGTACACACAAACCCACGACCCTATCCTAAAAGCCGAATGGAATAGATTAAATTCTACAATTAGATTAAAAATAAATAAACATAAAGAAAAACTTTGGATTAAAGCCACCGCCAACCTCGATTACAGGGATGGAGCAGGTTATTGGAAAACTTTCGAAAGATTAACTGAACAAAATAAAAACACCCACTCTCACTTAATTCATAATAACCAAATTCACGCCACAACCGATCAAAAAGCCGCGATTTTTAAAAACCACCTACTTTCAAACCCCAAACCATCCAAATCTCGATAACAACTCCCAAATAAACACAATTACGCACATAAATCAATTTCTTAATCACCACCCAGGCCCCATCCCTCTAAATCCTGAATGCCCACTCCTAAATCCAATCACTTCACACGATATCCACACAACCATTCACACTGGCAAAAACTCAACACCCGGTCCCGACGCGATAAAGAGAAAAACACTCAGACAACTCCCAGAATCCACCCACGCCCTTCTGGCAAAAATCCTCAACGCATGCCTCACATACGCCCATTTCCCCACTGCGTGGAAACGCGCAAATACAATCCTCATCCTAAAACCTGGTAAAAATCCACAAAAATTCCTGACTCCTACAGACCTATATCCTTAATCAGCTGCCTAGGCAAGATCCTAGAACTAATCCTAAAATCCAGACTTCTCGAATTCACACAAACTAACAACATAATACAACCCTATCAACACGGCTTCCAACCTAATCACGAAACCCAAAACTCACTACACGAAATACACACACACGCCACCAAAGCAATCAACGACGGTCACGCCACCCAAGCCATCTTCCTCGATGTCCAAAAAGCCTTTGACAAAGTCTGGCACCCAGGCCTAATCCAGAAACTCCTTAACATCAACCTTCCCCACCATTTCATACGCATCCTAGTATCCTATCTGCTGAGGAGAGAAATACGTATAAAAGTAGACCTCTCCTTATCAGAACCCTTCTCCCCTCTCAGTGGAGTCCCCCAAGGCTCCATACTTGCACCACTCCTATACCTCATCTACGTTCACGACATCCCTCATATACATAACACACTTCTGTACGCAGATGACACAGCCCTATACACCTCAGCCCCCTCCACACTAACACTAAACACCCGCGGACAACAAATGTTGAACCAGCTATCAAACTGGTGCAACAAATGGCGAATAACACTTAACCCACAAAAAACTCAAACCATCCTATTCACCCATCCAAACCTCACACGTAGAAAACAACTTGACCCCGAAAACATCCGCCTAGTGCTCGCAGGTCAGAGGCTCCAACTTCAAGATCAAGTCACCTATCTGGGTGTGCGATTCACTCGCACCCTCAACTGGGAGGTCGACCTACAACACACTCTCAATAAAATCATTATCATTTTTCGGAAATTTCATGGCTCTTGGCGAGCAGTGTATATCACTGAAGATGACCCCACTTGGTCATAGAGTGCATTTCTGGTATATCTCTTGCTCCAGCGAATTTCAGGATCCTTACCCAACGATTACGTAAGATACAGGGGTGGTTCCATTAGAAGTGGGTCACACTGTATAATGAAAGTTGATGCCGTTTATTTCACAATATTCATCATTCTAGAAGTCTAATGCAGGGTGGTATTTGAGTTATGATGCATTTTTGGAGGAATGTTCTCTAAGAAAAATGCATTTATTTTCCGAGTGTCTATCACCTCTCTAAATTTATATACAAAAACCTACAAAACCCCGTATAATGACTGAATTGCTAATTATAAGTTTTCAATGAATTTTTGAATTGATTTGTTATTTAATAGGCCAATGGTGACCCTTATTCTAATTTATTTTATGATTTGATGAAAAAATTCTATTCATTTTCGTTTATTTGATACGGAAGCGCAGAGGGGCCAAGTACTTTTTTATTTTTATTTTGCCTACTATTATGACTTAGTATCTCGTAATTACGACTTACTAAGACGTAATTATGAGATAGAAGACATAATTTCTCAATTACGACTTGTTATCTCGTAATTACGACTTATTAAGACGTAATTACGAGATAGAAGACATAATTTTTCAACTACGACTTGCTATCTCGTAATTACGACTTACTAAGACGTAATTACGAGATAGAAGACATAATTTCTCAATTACGACTTTCTATCTCGTAATTACGTCTTAGTAAGTCTTCGGCCTTCGGCATATCAGGCATATCATCTGGCTGAAACTTGTTTTATGTAATGAGGATATGAAGATGCAACAGCAGGACCGATTGAAATTTTGATGATATGCTCGAAAGGTTTTGGAGTAGAAAAATATCTGACATGGTTCTGTGGATATGATATGCCTGACATGCCTTCGGCATATCAGGCATATCATCTGGCTGAAACTTGTTTTATGTAATGAGGATATGAAGATGCAACAGCAGGACCGATTGAAATTTTGATGATATGCTCGGAAAATGCGAAAAGTATCATAATCTTGTAGAATTGCGCCCCCTTAACAATTTGATAGAAATAGAACCAAAAATCATACACATTTTAGCCCACTTACCTTATTACCTACCTACATCCTACATTATGATCTTCTTCAATCCTTTCATGCCTGTAAATAGAAAAATAAGCCTTCTCGTGGCACCAACAATGACATCATTGGGCCCTCCTTAACAATTTGATAGTTATAGAACCAAAATTCATACACATATTAGCCCACTTACCTTAATACCTACCTAAATTATCATCTACTATCTTTATTTCATGCCTGTAAATAGAAAAATATGCCTTCTCATGACTCCAACAATAACGCATTATTGGGCCCCCTTACCCCCTTAACCCCTTTCTTTCCCACTTTCTTTCCCCCTTTCCCTCATTCCCCCTTGACTGTACGTCAGTACCCGAACCTATTATTCGAGGGCTAAGAGCAACAACCGCGTAACTGAAAAAAACGTTGATTTCTGGTTACTACGCCACGTAACTCATCGTAGTGCATATTTTTGAGGGCAACAATCAAGTTTCTGATATAAAAATATTTAAACGGTTTTTCCAAATTCTGTATCGCATTTATACCCCGAAAATTAGTGTAACAACCACGTATCTCAGCATACGCTATTGTTGCTCTATATCATAACTGAAAGAATTGGCGCGACAATAGAGTATCATGGGATACGTTGTTATTGCTCTAATGAAGTAATGAATCAGATTTAGGAATCTCAGCATTTTCTGTTTTTGTCGAATGTTTTTCGTGAGCTGAACAATAAAAAATAAATCATCAGGTAAGTGCTGATTCGTTCATTATGGATTTGTTATAATTTATGCTCTTTCATTGTGTGGAAGAATGGTGTCGATGTATAATAATGAAATAATAATGTATACTGATTGAATATAATAATATCAATATTGGATTCAATTTTTGAGGTTATGAGGCGGCTGTGCATCGCAATATTCAAGAAGGGTCGACTTCGCTACACAGGAAAAACAGTTGTCTTGATCAAATGAAGATTTATTTGTAAATGTCGGAATAAATCATTCATTTCATCGGAATATTCAATTGATTTTTGTGAAAATACCTATCTTCTATAATTGTATTTCTATGAAATGAATAATTTTTTTTGCGCGATCAGGCGATCATAATCATTTGGCATCATCCGATACTGATTATGTGTTTCGGAAATAATGAAACAATGTTCTTGATGAAGTAAAGTCCATCCATATAATTATCAGCATTATCGTCAGTTTGATGGTATTCGACAAAACCATCGAGCCAATAGAAGTAATTCACCTCCCAATGAAGAATTTCTTTGAATGATTGTCATGTTTTCATTATTGAAGACATTACTTATTGATGCGTTGTAACCATCTTAGTTATGAAGTTTCATTTATAGAGAGCACTGTTCGTTTCATCCAGAACTGAAATACTTTTTGTGGCTCCTGTTTTCTGTTATGTTCTAATCATTGAAAAGTGACGCATCACTTTTCATAGAGTGGGTATGGCATACATCATATTCGATTACTTTTGTTATCCACTCTTTTTCACAATATAGGTTCATAGGTAATTTCATTATTTCAGGTATAATGGACCATAACAGTAGAAGCTTCAAAATTATGCAGAAAGGTTTAGATGAACACAAAAAACATATTGCTCAAGATGATAACACTATAATCGATACGGAGAATGAGAGACAATGTACCTCTAATTCTTTGTCAGGTAGTGAAGATGTGTTCAATAATCGACTAGACAATACAATTATTGAAAATTCAGAAAAGAGTTCCGCCGCTGAAGAAACTGCCATCAATATGGATGATGAAGATAGACAAGATATAGTTGAACAAAGGAATGGAGAACTCATTTATACGGAACTGACTAATGTTGCCATTGAAATAATTCAAGCTCCCGATGGAACAGAGTGGAATACAGAAGGAGTTGAAGAAATATTATGGGATTATGAGGGACGTGAAAGGGACGGAAATAAAGAAACGAATGAGGATACTGAAGATGATAAGGCAAGAGATGATGATGCTGATGAAGAATGGACACCCGGGGAAGAGAAATCAGTATCATCGGATGAGGAGACAGATGAGCAGTTGGATAATGATATGGAAATGGATATGAATGGGGACAGAGAAGAAGAAATAAATGATAATATGAATGAGCAGGAGGATAACATAGCAAATAATATAACCGAGAATGAAAGACAAGGCGAAGAACATCGAAATGAAAATGATAGGACTGTTATAAAGAGGTCTAGAAATCGTACAGCTGCACCAGAAACATGGATAAGAAATCGAAGAAAGATTCAAAGGCAAGCAGGGCTACCTTATATGTCATCGCGAAAAAAGTTCATCCCAGGAAAATCGATGAAATATAAGGATTGCTCTAAATGTCCAAGGAATTGCAATGGAGCATTTTCTGAAGAAGAAACCAGTCAAATTTTTCAACAATTTTGGAAACTTGGAGACGAAGAAGATCAGAACAAATTCATAGGTTCATTAGTTTCACAAGAAACTAAGAAATCTGGTAAAGAGAATTCCAGGAGAAAAAGTACACACATCTACCATTTGAGCAAAAATGGGACAAAAATTGTCGTGTGTAAAGGATTTTTTCTGTCTTCTTTAGGGATAACGGAATCAAAGGTTTACCATATCATGAAATCCAGAAATACAAATTATTTCATTGAAAAATCGAGGCGTGGGAAATGTGAGAGTGCAAACAAAATTCCATTGGATGCAAGAAACTTCATAAAGGATCACATCAACTCATTTCCCAGAGTACCATCGCATTATACCAGGAAAGATACAAACAAGGAATATTTAGAAAAGGACCTCAATCTGAATATAATGTACGATCTTTATAAACAACACTGTGAAGAGAACGGTAGAAGAGCAGAAAAATTGTGGTACTACAGGTCGGTATTCAAGACTGAATTCAACATGTCATTCCATAAGCCAAGAAAAGATATGTGTGACACTTGTTACGTTTTTGAGCATAGTAAACCAGAAGAAAAAAGAGAAATACAGGAGGATTATGACGAGCATGTGTTGAGAAAAATCGAAGCTAGAAAATTCAAGAATGATGCGAAAGAAAGAGCTGAGAGAGAAGAATGTGTTTTGATTGAATTTGACCTTGAAGCTGTGTGTTATACTCCAGCAACTAATGCTAAAGCTCTTTTTTACAAGAGTCGTTTAGCTGTATATAACTTCACAGTTCTCAATGTTGTGGATAAAAAAACAGTATGCTACATGTGGCACGAAGGTATTGCAATTCCAATGAGGTGGCATCTTGTTTGTGGCACTTTCTACAGATGGAGAGAATCAATAAGGAAGTCGTATTTTTTTCAGACACCTGTGGTGGACAAAATCGAAATGCAAACGTTGCTGCTTTTTGCATTCATGCTGTGAAATATTTGGACATTCCAGTAATAAATCAAATGTTTTTCGAACCTGGACACTCTCAAATGGAGGTTGACAACATTCATGCTCAGATTGAAAAAAAGAAGAAAAATGTGGACATATTCGATCCCTCGGGCTGGTACGCATTAGTCCGATCTGCTTGCAAGAAACATCCTTATACAGTATATGAAATAGATCAACCTGATATCAAGTGTTTCAAGACACTAAGGAAGGAAATCCTAAAAAACAAAAATATAGACACTAACGGTAATGATGTTAACTGGTTGAATATAACATGGCTGCAATATAGGAAAGATGATCCAGAACATATTTATTTCAAGTACCGAAAAACAGAGGAGAATTTCAGGAAAATCCAAATAATTCGACGTGTTTCCCGGGCAACACAAACTAAAAGCATTACTTTATTGGAAGCTTATTCACAGCCCATACCAATCAGCAAAGAAAAGATGCAAAACTTGAAAGAACTATGCAACAAAAAAATCATTCCCAGCCAATATCATCACTTTTATGAATCATTGGTCAGCATTTGAATTCGCGAGGATAGCAATGATGGAATGAATATTCATCTTCACATTGCAAGAAGAATCTTCTCATTTTTTAAATTTTCTAAGAACAGATGAATTAAGTTGTATTACTCATTCGATTATTTTTCGAATAAGATTTTTGCTTTTATAATGATAAATATATTACATCGGCATGATCATATGAATAAATATTTTTTGAATCACCAGAGTTTTCATTATTTTTTATGATTTCCGGTAATAATAGTTTATTATACACCTAGGGACTGAAGTGGTATTTTAAATCCCGAGACAAAAGTATATAGCCCGACCAACGGGGATTTAAAGTAACATTTAATTCCTAGGGGTTCAAAGTACCACTTTTTTCACCGAAAATAGGGAATAAAGGTACTTTTCGAATCCCTGAAGTGCATAAACCATTTTAAATTGATCGAACGTAACGTATGACGAAACATATGTTAGAGCATCAATGACGTAACTGCGACATTCGATGAAAATTAATATTTTTCAGGTGAAATGAAGAGCGGAGGTACAATTTTCGATCATGTCATTGATAAATGAAGAATGATTGATCATTGTCATTGAAAAATATCGAAGGTTATGTACTTACAATATTCATCAACACAATTTTTAGGTAGCGTCCGTGTTCTTTTGCGATTATCTCGGAATTCATGAAACAGTAGTTACGCGGTTGTTGCTCTTAGCCCTCGTATTTTGTCTCCGATCATGACACGAACCTTTTATTTACGAGTGTAGACGAACGATTTTGTCGATGCCTGTGATAGGCTTAGAATTTTTTTTACGCAATCTGATTGGTCATACATTTTCGGCGTAATTACGAGATAGAAAGTCGTAATTGAGAAATTATGTCTTCTATCTCGTAATTACGTCTTAGTAAGTCGTAATTACGAGATAGCAAGTCGTAGTTGAAAAATTATGTCTTCTATCTCGTAATTACGTCTTAATAAGTCGTAATTACGAGATAACAAGTCGTACTTGAGAAATTATGTCTTCTATCTCATAATTACGTCTTAGTAAGTCGTAATTACGAGATACTAAGTCATAATAGTAGGCAAAATAAAAATAAAAAAGTACTTGGCCCCTCTGCGCTTCCGTAATTTGACGACTAAATTCTATAAGTATATAATATAATCATCCTGAAATAGGATTACTAATTGAATTGAATGTTACTGATTCATTCGCCTTTTGTTATTTCACATATATCTCTAATTCCATTGAATAAATTGGAAAAATTTCAGTGCATATTCAAAAAAATAATAATTAATTTTGTCATTCAATCTGGAAAAACTTACTGGATTTCAACATGATTTGGAAATTTACATATACAGGGTGTTTCAAAATTCGACAACGCTTCACAGGAGGTAGCTCTCGTGATTTGGTGAATAATGAGGTAGGAACATAAGGGTCCCACGTGATTAGTTATCGAGTTACAGGGTGTTGAAGTTGGGAAATAAAAATAATTTATTCGCAATAACTCAAAAACGGCTGATCTTTTTTCATTCAAACTCGAAAAGTGAATCAATATTGAGGAACTTCAATTCCAGACAAAAAATTCATAATCAACAATTCATCCAGTGGCGACGTTAAGGGATATGATTTATTGATTTTGCAAAAAAAAATGTGTTGTGATATGAATTTTCGAAATTTCATGTGGTATTATTGAAGGCCATTTAATTTTGATTGAAAAAGGCTCACTTGATTGAACTCGATAGAACCCACTATTTCCGAGAAAAAACGAAAAATGTGATTAGTCCTCAAATTTTTTTACTCAAAATCGTTCAACATGAAACAACAAAAATATCAACCCAAAATTATAGAAACTGTTCGAAGTTCTGGCCATTGACTTGTTGACACATTGTGCAACGTCTGCTCATCGCAAAACGCATCCAAGGAAATAGTTTATGCTTAGTTATAAGTTCCGTTGCAGCCTCGTTTCCTGCTACGAATTCCTTTTCAGTTTCAACGTTTCAACGATGATGTCTTATAACTAGGATTTTTTTATTTATCCAACAAAAAATCAATCGGATTCAGATCAGGTGACCTAGGGGGCCATACTTTGGACCTCAAGTATGGTACATGTCCAATCCATTTTCTCCAAAATGGTCACTTAGTAACGCTCTTGCACCTCTGTCAAAATAGGCACCGGCATCATCATGTTGAAACCACATGTTCCTGCTGATATTTAGCGGAACATTTTCCAATGGTTCTGGAAGAACTTCTTGTAGGATCTCCTGTAGATTGATCCATTTATTGCATTAGGTAGAATGTATGAACTAACCAGGTAATTTTCAGAATACCAGCAGACAAATTGATTGAAAATTTGGTCTAGATCCAGAAGGAAAATTTGGTCTAGATCTAGATGGAAAATTTCATGTCAGTTCTTTTTATTTCATATGTGACTGTTTCCATTGAAAATTCCTGCCGTGGTGAATTTCTGAATTTTGCTTCATCGGTGTATGATACTCAGGGAAACTAGCGAGTCCACCACACATTTAGCTGAAGCAATTCTAATATTTTATTCTCACATAATAGTCTTCCAATGCCTGTACTCTTGTGAAATTTTTTACCACTGACATCACATGATCCTTAAACTCCTCATTTTAGGATCGCATTTCTCCTTCTAGTAGTCATTTTCACAATTATAGGGAAACACTTGATCAATATTTATTTATTCATTCATTTTGATAGATGTCAAAAGCTGTCTCAAATTAAACTGAGTTTTATTTGCAAAGATCATAAAGACATAACATTTCGTTTCAAATTCTTGGATTTTTCTACTGGTTATGGATTTTACCAACGAAGAAATGACTGATATGTTATTATTATATAGAGAAGCGAGAAGAAACGGTAGAATGGCATTACGTCTATACGAAGAAAGATTTCCTAATCGTAGAGTACCTCACCATTCTACTTTTGCCAGCATAGAAAGGAGAATTCGTGAAACAGGCAGATTAAGTGTCCGAAGAAATAATGCAGGAAGGCGTAGAACCACAAGAACAGTTAGATTAGAGGAAGAAATATTGAACGAGGTTTCGGAGAGGCCATCGTTGAGTACCAGAACCATAGGTCGAGCATTGAATGTGAGCAATTCCATTGTGTGGAGAGTACTGCGAGAACAAATGCTACAGCCATATAAACTCACCAGAGTACAAGCATTGGAACCGAGAGACTATCCCACGAGAGTGGAATTTTGCAATTGGTTCAACGAAATGTGTCGTGAAGACGTAAATTTCCCTGAGTATGTTCTATACACTGACGAAGCGAAATTCACCAGAGAAGGAATTTTCAATACAAGGAACAGTCACGTATGGAATGACGTGAATCCACACGAAATTCGTCAACGTGGGTTCCAGACCAAATTTTCCATCAATTTGTGGGCCGGTATTGTCGGAAATTGTCTGATTGGTCCATATATTTTACCCAATAAATTAAATGGATCAATTTACAGACGTTTCCTACAAGAAGTTCTTCCAGAATTGTTGGAAAATGTGCCGCTGGTCATCAGAAGGAACATGTGGTTCCAACATGATGGTGCGCCTGCACATTTTGACAGAAGTGCAAGAGCTTTACTCAGTGAAAGATTTGGTGACCAATGGATTGGACGTGGTGGTCCTCACGTATGGCCCCCTAGGTCACCAGATCTGAATCCGATCGATTTTTTTCTTTGGGGTCATATGAAATCCTTAGTGTACGACACCATTGTAGAAACTGAGGAGGAACTTATTGCAAGAATACAGGCTGCAACGGAAATCATAAATACTAACCGTGAGATATTTTCAAATACGCGTTTTGCGATGAGAAGACGTTGCACAATGTATCAACAAGTCAATGGCCAGAACTTCGAACAGTTACTATAATTTTGGGTTGATATTTTTGTTATTTCATGTTGAACGATTTTGAGTAAAAAAATTTGAAGACTAATCACATTTTTCGTTTTTTCTCGGAAATGGTGGGTTCTATCGAGTTCAATCAAGTGAGCCTTTTTCAATCAAAATTAAATGGCCTTCAATAATACCACATGAAATTTCGAAAATTCATATCACAACACATTTTTTTTTGCAAAATCAATGAATCCTATCCCTTAACGGCGCCACTGGATGAATTGTTGATTATGAATTTCTTGTCTGGAATTGAAGTTCCTCAATATTGATTCACTTTTCGAGTTTGAATGAAAAAAGATCAGCCGTTTTTGAGTTATTGCGAATAAATTATTTTTATTTCCCAACTTCAACACCCTGTAACTCGATAACTAATCACGTGGGTCCCTTATGTTCCTACCTCATTATTCACCAAATCACGAGAGCTACCTCCTGTGAAGCGTTGTCGGTCGAATTTCGAAAGTGCTATCTACTTTCATCAACAGAACTTTTTCTACTATTTGAAATAGGTCAATCACTTCTTCACAGCCTACATTGTCAACTACCCAACAATTTTCGACAGAATTATCATGTATGGAAAATGAATCACAATTCATTTTCTGTACTCTCAATTTGATAGATTCATTCAATTTATGAATCTTCAATATAATAGCAAAATATCCATCTATGAGCTGTACACATGAATTGTTATTCTTTCTTTTTTCACAATAGTTACCACTACAAAATAAAGTATTATTAATAATTACTCTGTTATACACTGTAACATAGCTATTCCCAATTTTTTCTCTACTACCGGCACCTAAAATACGAATATTATTTTGAAAAGTTCCAGGCAATAATTTCTACATGTTGCAGACATATCAGTACTTCGTATAATATTTTTAGAAAAACTTTCATAAATGATTTGTTTATCAATACCCATTGGACCTTTAACAGTCCGTTCTATATTGAAAATTGCAGATTCGAAATGAAAATTTGAAGTGGACCATAAAGGACCACATTTTTTTACACACATTGCTAAATGGGTGAGTAGATGTACATTAAAATTCATTGCTGATGACCCATAGTAAATTTCGAATTCCGAAACATATATTTTCAATAAACCCTCTG